TTTCAACTGATTTTTCCTCCATCCAGTTCAAAACTGAAGATTCTAAAACCATTACGTCACACACACGCACACACACACTCTCTCTCTCTCTGCCTCTCTGGTCATGTGACCACTCAACTGCAGGCTACCTTCCAAGCATCTGCCTATGCTTGTAAACTTTGCTCTGAAATTAAGCTTTCCATTACACACACCCTTGAGGCAGGAAAGCGTCTGCCGCAGAAAAACAGACAGACAGAAACACACACAGAAAGCCAGGTGTACCTGTCGGATCAGCGTGCCCCGATGCCCAGGTTTCTCCAAGGCCGGCCAGCACTATCTCCACCTGTCCCCAGGGAAGAGGGTTAGCAACAATTTCAACCCTGTGGTGTTCTAAGGCGTTGCCAGACTGACTCCTCCACGCTTCCCTTCTATCACTCTGGTCATGCCGATCTCGTGCATCTCTGCCTGTTCACTGTGTGTTGCCAGGGTTTGGGGAGGATGGAGGAGGACAGACTCTTCTGGGGTCGTATCTGGACTTTTCAGCACTGTGTGTTCTTCTAGGGCAGACTTCCAGAGGGCCTTCTTCTACTGTGACCTTTCGTATTGCCAAAATGACCTTGAGGCCTAGTAATTTCTTTCTTTATTATTTATTTAATTTATACCCTGCCATCCCCACTCAAGCAGGCTCAGGGTGGCTTACAAGGCCATTTGGTGTCATAAAACAACATAAAACCCTCTGGATACAACACAATTAGAAACAATCAAAACAGTTTAGAACAACAGTATAAACAACATTTTCATAAAGTGCCATATATAGCAGGGGTGGCCAAACTGTGGCTCGGGAGCCATGTGCAGCTCTTTCACACATATTATGTGGCTCCCGGAAGGACAACTGGGGAAGTGAAGAAGAGGCATGGCTCCCTGATCAGTCTTCCCTTCCCCAGGCAGTGTTTCTCTTACTGGGTAGGCTTGAGGTGGGAGGGAGCAGAGAAAGAAAACAACTTTAACTTTAAATGTATTCTCAAAGCACCCCCTCCCACTGGCTGGCTTGGAGAAGGCATTTGTTTCTTTAAATCCTTCCATCCTCCCTCATCTATTTGCTTTTTTACCCAGTATCGATTTTAGACTGACTCGCCTGTAATTTCCCGGATCGTCTCTGGAACCCTTTTTAAAGATGGGAGTGACATTAGCTACCTTCCAGTCCTCAGGAATGGAGGCACATTTTAATGAAAGATTACATATTTTTGTCAGTTCACGTCTGAGTTCTTTCAGAACTCTTGGATGTATGCCTTCTGGGCCTGGTGATTTATCAGTTTTAAAGTTGTCTACCAGTCGTAGGACCTCCTCTCTCATCTCCTCAATTCGACTCTTTCTCCCTTTCTCTCTCTCTCTGTTCCTTCCCTCCTTCCTTCCCCCTCCCTCCCCCATCTATTTGCCTTCTTTCTCTCACTCTCTTTGCCTTTCTTGCCACCTCTCTCTCTCTCTCTCTCTCTCTCTCCCTTTCCCTTTCTTTCCACCTCTTTCATTCTTTCTTTCCACCTCTCTCTCTCTTAGACAAATAAATATCTTTAGCAAACAAATATAATCGGACAAATGAATATTCTTTCCACCTCTCTCTCTCTTAGACAAATAAATATCTTTAGCAAACAAATATAATCGGACAAATGAATATCATTATCAATATCTGTTTTTACCCCTTTTGTTTTTATTTTTGGCAGTCTCATTTAATGTCAATACATAGCAAATTTACATATTTTCCAATAAAAACGTGTGTAATATTTGTTCATGTCTTGCAGCTCCCAAACATCTGACATTTATGCTATATATAATTCCACTGGGTAGGGCGGCATAGAAATCGCAAAAATAAAAATAAAAAATATATGGCTCTTATGTTAAGGAAGTTTGGCCACCCCTGGTGTATAGTTTAACTAGACACCTCAGGATTAGGTAGTCTTATATTGCTATTCAGATCCAGGCCACCAATAGAGAATCAACCAGGGGGAGGAAAGGATCATCCGCTGCCTGAATCAAAAGCCTGGTGGAAGAGCTCCATCTTACAGGCCCTGTGGAATTGTAATAAATCCTGCAGGGCCCTGATCTCATACTGGAGCTCATTCCACCAAGTAGGGGCCAGGGTCGAAAAGGCCCTGCCCTAGTTGAGGCAACTTGGATGTACCAAAGATGTTGGTTTGAATCATAGAGTTGGAAGGGACCTCCAGGGTTATCTAGTCCAAACCCCTGTACAATGCAGGAAATTCACAAATACCTCTCCCTCCACACCTGCAGTGACCACTGTTCCATGCCCAGAGGATGACAAAAAAACCTCCAGGATCCCTGGCCAAACTTCCTGACCCCAGAGTGGGAACCAGCATTTCCCTGGGCGTGTACGAAAGGGCCACAAGACCTAAGCACTGAGGCAACCCTTCCTGCCCTCCCTCTCAGTATCTGCCCAAGTTCACACAATCAGCATTGCTTTCAGATGGCCATCGAGCCTCTGTTTGAAAACCTGCCAAGAAGGAGAGCCCACCACCTCCCGAGGAAGCCTGTTCCTCTGAGGAACTGCTCTAATTGTCAGGAAGTTATTCCTAATGCTTAGCCGAAAACTCTTCTGATTTAATTTCAACCCGCCGGTTCTGGTCCGACCTTCTGGGGGCAACAGAAAACAACTCTGCATCATCCTCTATATAACAACACTTCAGGTACTTGAAGATGGTTATCATGTCACCTCCATCCTTTCTAAATGCTCAAGGACCGTCTGTTTGATGATCTGTTCTAAAACTTTCCCAGGTATAGATGTGAAGCTGACGGGTCGGTAGTTACCCGGATCCTCTTTCCCCTTCTTGAAGATGGGGACATCATTTGCCCGCCTCTAGTCTTCAGGCACCTCACCTGTTCTCCAAGAATTCTAAAAAATAATGGACAGAGGCTGAGAAATTACATCCACGAGTTCTTTTAGTACCCTTGGACGCAGTTCATCTGGCCCTGAGATCTTAGTTTCATTTAAATAAACTAAGTGTTTGTGTACTACCCCTATGCCATCCGTAGACCTCAATGCTCTATAGGGCTCATAAGGGGATAGGCGGTCCCAAAGGTATGCTGGCCATATAGGGCTTTAAAGGTAAGCACCAGCACCTTGAAACAGATCCAGAATTCAGTGGGCAGCCAATGCCGTTCACGCAGCACTGGGTGGATGCGAGCCTGCACAGGTGTCGCTGTCAACACCTGTGCTGCCACGTTCTGCACCAGTTGCAGCTTCTGGAGCTGAGTCAAGGGTAGCCCCACATAGAGAAAGTTACAATAACCCATTCTAGAAGTGACCATTGCACGGGTCACTGTAGCCAGGTCGCGGGGGGTGAGATAAGGGGCCAAGTGCCCGATCTGTCTCGGGTGAAAAGAGGCGGACCGGGCAGTGGCAGGGACCTGGGCCTCCACAGAAAGGGAGGCATCCAGGAACACCCCCAGACTCTTTACCATCGATGTTGGCACCAGTGGAGCTCCATCAAAGGTTGGGATCCTGATTCTCTGACTCAATCCCCTGTGACTGATGTGCAGGACCTCCGTCTTAGATGGATTTAACTTTCATTCTGATCTTTCGTAACCATCCAGCCACAGCCTGTAATGCCCTGTCCAGATCTCCTGGGCAGCCATTCATCAGTACGTAGAGCAGGGTGTCATCCACATATTGGTGACATCCCAGCCCATATCTCTGAGGGGGTGCGTATAGATGTTAAGGAGCATGGGGGAAAGAATTGCCCCTTGTGGCACACCACATTCCAGAAGGTGCCGTTGGGATAACTCTCCCCCAAGTGCTACCCTCTGTCCCCGACCTTGGAGGAAGGAGGTCAGCCACTGAAAGGCAAGCCCCCATATCCCCACGTCGGCCAGTCTTCTGGCTGTCTCTTGCTGACCATAAGATACACTTGTTTCCAGAGAGACAGGCTGACTCTGAGCTTTAAGGAAAGGCAGAGATGCCTGGATGATTCAGACACGGCTTCGCATTAGACAATAGACAAGCCCGGCTGACGCCCAGAGAATGGCTCAGAGATAGCAAGACAGTGGCTCTGAATGTAGGTGGCCCTAAACTGGAGGGTTGCTTTTCTCACTGGACATTACCTGCCCCCCCCCCAGAAATGGCACCTCTTCAAATACCATGGGGATCCTTTTGAACTGTAGGGTTGCCTTCGTGAGCTCCTGGCTTCTCACTGCCCCACAGCAAACTTGTATTTTGGGGAGGCTGAAAACCAGATCCTTCTTGCCTCTCATCACATCTAGAAGCAGGACTCTTTTTGGGCAGGAACGCACAGGAACAGAGTTCCGGCTGGCTCCCGAGTTGGCCACGCCCAGCAGGAGCTCATTAGCATAATAGGCCACACCCAACAGCAGAAACTCATTAGGATTGGCTACATTAGGGGTGTGTGGCCTAACATGCAAAGGAGTTCCTGCTACAAAAAAGGCCCTGGGTTTTGACAACAAACAAGGTAAACAGAATAAGAAGCAAAAGGTGGGTGTGGCTGGATGACCACACTTCTGGTAACACGGGGGTGGGGCCTAATATGCTAATGAGCTGCTCTGTCAGGGTGCGTGGCCCAATATGCTAACGAGTTCCTGCTGTTGGGTGTGGCCTATTATGCTAATGAGTTCCTGCTGGGCTTTTTCTACAAAAAAAGCCCTGTCTAGAAGGACACTTTCTGTGTAGCTGCAGGACTAGATATCTTGAAAACTTCTTGTATTTAATTATCAAGTGCAGAGAATCAAAAGAGCTGTTTGGTATGTGGTGTGGGAACAGCAGGGGGAACGAATCTTTCCCCCTTGAAGTACATACAGATGGGGTTGGGGAGAGACAGGCAGAATATGAACGCAGCTCTACGGGAAGGCCTGGCAGGGATAAGGTGTGACCAACAGCCGCGTTTCGGAGGAAAGAAGATCTGACCAAGGAATTACACATCCATTCATGAGCAGGGCCTGACTGTTGGCTTGGCTTCTTGCTTGGGTGCTGATGGAAAACCTTTCCTTTATTCCAGCAGCAGATGAAGAGGACATACCAGGCGAATCCCTGGGATTCTCTTTGGAAAATGCCAAGAATGAAGATGCTGAAGGAAACTTCGGAGATGGAGATGGACCACAGCGGCAGATGGAAAGCCACGCAGGTAAGAGGAGGGAATAAGCCTGTTCCTTGCCAAGGAGGGGGTTTCCGTGAAATCCTAATCCAAGATGGAAGGTCAGTCAAAAAAACAGGGGGGAGGGGGAAAGGCCTCTGTGTGAACCAGAAGATCCACCCCTGGGAAAAATCGGTCTGAGAACGAATGTCATTTCACAGATGCCCAGAAAACCGTATAATTTCTTGGAGTGGGGAAAGAGCTTCAGTGGGAAAACAGTCCTGACTTATAAGGCAGAAGGGTCCTTCTTTGACCTTCAGGTCCTGTTCTACCCCTGCCCTTTAAAGTTTTCCCAACATCTGGAGGGACTTTTTTCTCTCTCTCAGGTCAACAGCCGCCAGCCCCTGACCTTACTAGGCATTGCCCACTGAGAGGGTGAGGAATCCTAAAATAATAGAGTTGGATCTCTAGGCTCATCTAGTCCAACCTCCTGCACAATGCAGGAAATTCACAAATACGTCCCCCTCCACACCCACAGTGACCGCTGTTCCACACTCAGAAGATGACAAAAAAACCTCCAGGATCCCTGGCCAAACTGGCCTGGAGAAAAATAGCTTCCTGACCCCGAAGGAGCCATTGACATTTCCCTGTGCGTGTAAGAACGGTCCATGAGAACTAAGCATTGATGCAACCCTTCCTGCCCTCCCTCTCATGATCCACCTAAGTTCACACAATCAGCATTGCTGTCAGATGGCCACCTAGCCTCTGTTTGAAAACCTCCAAAGAAGGAGAGCCCACCATCTCCCGAGGAAGCCTGTTCCAATGAGGAACCGCTCCAACTGTCAGGAAGTCTTACTGTCAGGAAGTTATTCCTGATGTTTAGCCAAAAACTCTTCTGATTTAATTTCAACCCGTTGGTTCTGGTCCGACCTTCTGAGGTAACAGAAAACAACTCTGCACCATCTTTTATATGACAGTCCTTCAAGTACTTGAAGATGGTTATCATATCACCTCTCAGTCGTCTCCTCTCCAGACTAACCATACCCAGCTCCTTCAACCTTTCCTCATAGGACTTAGTCACCAGATCCCTCACCATCTTCGTTGCCCTCCTCTGGACACGTTCCAGCTTGTCTATATCTTTCTTGAATTGTGGTGCCCAAAACTGAACACAACACTCTAGGTGAGGTCTAACCAGAGCAGAGTAAAGTAGAACCATCACTTTGCATAATCTGGACACTATACTTCTATTGATACAGCCCAAAATTGCATTTGCCTTTTTAGCTACCATGTCACACTCTCAGCTTCCATTCGAAGTTCTGAGGCTTGACCTCTGCATTTCCCGCTACCAGCTCCTGGTCACCAGGGGGGCAGCTTGCAGCCTTGTGCACCCCATTGGATTTGACTAGAACTCGACTATCCCATTGTCTTTTGCCTGCTTTCTGCCCACAGAGAAAAAAGCTTTTAAACTCAGAATGAAGGTCTTGCTGCATTCAAACCTCCATCCTGATTTACATTTCTTCACACTTCATGTCTAAGAAGTCACACAGGTGGGGAGCACTGTTCCCTCTAAGCTGAGTTAGTGTGAGTTAGCTCACAGTTTTCTAGCCTCCAGCTCACACATTTTTTGTCTTAGCTCAGGAAGGAGGGCTCCAGAGCAAACTAATTTATGTAGTAGCCAAATCGCTCGCGCACAACTTTAATGTTAGTAGTTCACAAAGTAGAATTTGTGCTCACAAGACTCCACAGCTTAGAGGGAGCATTGGTGGGGAGCCCATATATAGTCCCAAACAAGCATCTTGGATGCAGGAGTCTTAATGTACTCTGAAAATGTATATTATTATATACTTTAATGTACAGCTGGAGGAAGCCACTGAAATATTTGGAGTGTGGATAGAACTTCAGGTGCAGATTAGATTGGCTTGCCTGGCTTCTAAGAGTGTCTCTCTCTTTATTCCAACAGCAGATGAACAGTGGAATGAGGAGGATGAGGAACTGCATGCTCTATCTCCAGATGAAATCCAGAAGGGAGACATGAGGGGAAACTTCAGGAATCAAGGAAGACCTAGAAGGGAGAAAGGCAGCCACTTGGTCAAGAAGAGGGGAAAACCCATTCCTTGCCAGGGAGGGGATTTCCTAGACGTCATTCACATGGTAGAGGAAACAAACAAGGGCTTGGAGTGTGGAAGGAACACAGATCAAACCCAATATAATGTTGATTTACAAATCCACAGTGGAAAGAAGACCAATCAATGCCTGGAGAGTGGAAAGACCACGATTTGCAGAGCAGAGCTTTGTCGACATGAAAGAACACATTCAGTAGAGAAACCTTATAAGTGTTCAGACTGTCTCAAGAGCTTTTCAGAGAAATCAGACCTTATTCAGCATCAAAGGATTCATTCAGGGGAGAAGCTATTTATCTGCTCAGAGACTGGAATGGCATTTTCTGATGGAAGAAAGTACAATGTACACTTGCCAAAACCCAGTATAATGAAGGCACATAAATGCTTTCAGTGTGGAAAGTACTTCAGAAACAGATCACATCTCATTGTCCACCGAGAGATCCACAGAGGGGAGAAACTGTTTGAATGCTCGGAGTGTGGGAAGAGATTCAATTGGAGTAGCAATCTGCAACAGCATCAAAGAATCCACACAGGGGAGAAACCTTTTGAATGTTCAGAGTGTGGGAAGAGATTCCCTTGGAGTGGCCGTCTTAAAGAGCATCAACGAACCCACACAGGGGAGAAGCCTTTTGAATGCGCAGAGTGTGGGAAAAGATTCGGTCATAGTGGTGGTCTTCAAAATCATCTAAGAACCCACACAGGGGAGAGGCCCTTTAAATGCTCAGAGTGTGGGAAGAGATTCAGTTGGCGTTGCACTCTTCAACATCATCAACGAACCCACACAGAGGAGAAGACCTTTGATTGCTCAGAGTGTGTGAAGAGGTTTAGTCACAGTGGCAGTCTTCAGAAGCATCAGGAAACCCACACAGGGGAGAAGCCCTTTGAATGCTCAGAGTGTGGGAAGAGATTCAGTCAGAGTGGGACTCTTCAACGGTATCAACGAACCCACACAGGGGAGAAGCCCTTTGAATGCTCAGAGTGTGGGAAGAGATTTTGTCACAGTGGCAGTCTTCTACAGCATCAAAGAACCCACACAGGGGAGAAGCCCTTTGAATGCTCAGAGTGTGGGAAGAGATTCAATCGGAGTGGGACTCTTCAACAGCATCAACAAACCCACACAGCAGAGAAGCCCTTTGAATGCTCAGAGTGTGGGAAGAGATTCCGTCGGAAGGGCACTCTTCAACAGCATCAACAAACCCACACGGGGGAGAAGCCCTTTGAATGCTCAGAGTGTGGGAAAATGTTCACTCGGAGTGCCAGTCTTCAAGAGCATCAAAGGATCCACACAGGGGAGAAGCCCTTTGAATGTTCTGAATGTGGGAAGAGATTCAGTTTGAGTGGCACTCTTCTAAAGCATCAACGAACCCACATGGAGAAAAGCCCTCTGAATGCTCAGTATGTGGGAAAATATTCAGTCGGAGTGCCACTCTTCAACAGCATCAATGAACCCACAGAGGAGAGAAGCCCTTTGAATGTTTAGAGTGTAGGAAGAGATTCAGTTTGAGTACAGTGCTCTTCAACAGCATCAACAAACCAACACAGGAGAGTCCTTTTGAATACTCAGAATGTGGGAAGTGATTAAGTCAGAGTGGCACTGTTCAACAGCATCAAAGAACCCATACAGGGGAGAAGCCCTTTGAATGTTTAGAGTGTAGGAAGAGATTCAGTTTGAGTACAGTGCTCTTCAACAGCATCTAAGAAGCTATCCAGGGGAGAAACTTTTTGAGTGCTCAGAGGGTGGGAAGAGATTCAGTCACAATGGTGGCTCAGTGGGCCTTGGTTTTCCCAAGATTATTGGTTCTTGGGGACCTCAACATCCATGCGGATGGAACCACTTCCACTAATCAGGCTTTAGATTTATTGTTTTTATGGCAATGCTTGGGCTTTCCCAAATTCTATCAGGCTCCACACATCAGGCAGGCCACGCCCTGGATTTGATTTTTAGCATGGGGACGAAGGTGGATCTGACCTCACGGCAGGAGGTGCCATGGTCAGACCACTTGGTCCTGAAGGCCCGGCTGGGTGTTTTTGCCTCCCCTTGTCTAGGTGGCGAGCAGATTTATGCTAGCCTGCGGAGACTGATAGATCCAATTGGTTTCCAGAATGCTCTGTGGGACCTGATGCCTTTCGGTGCCTCGTTAGATAAGCTGGTAGAGGACTGGAGTGTCCGTCTCTCTGAAGCCATCAGTGAGGTTACACCCTGACGTCCTCTCTGTTCTTGTCATCAAATGTCCCCCTGGTATATGAAAGAACTCGGGGGTGAAGTGGGAACTCAGACGACTTGAGCAAGTTTTGTTTGCAACAAAGCTACTGGGGCATCCTTTAGGACGTTTATGAGGTGCTATGAGGTGATGGTGAAGGTAGTGAATAAGGGATTCTACTCGGTCTCCATCATGTCCACAAGCTCACACCCGGCACAGTTATTTAGGGTAGTTCGGCAGTTGACGTTTTGCTCTGGGGGAGGACACAAAAAAGTAAGAATTTGACCATTCGCTGTGAGGCTTTTGCGAGCTTTTTTGCAGATAGTCTTGTTGCTCTGCCATGACATGCTCGCTGAAATTGATACAGTAATTGAACTGGAGGTCCCTTGCCTGTCTTTGGATTCATTTTTAGACAGCTTCAGCTTGACTCTCACCTGCTGATATCAACAGGATCCTTGGTGCTGTGTGGTCCAATACATGCCTCCTGTGTCCCTCATGGCTAGTGAAAGCTGGTGATGAGAGGATGCAGGGCCCACTGAAGGAGATGATCAATCTGTCCCTGGAAACAGGGGTCTTTCCAGAGGGTCTTAAGGAGGCTGTGGTGGTACTGCTCTTAAAAAAGCTGGATCGAGGGTGGGTCAGCACTTCTGTTGTTACTTGATGTTACAACAGGATTCAACACGGTCAGTTATGATCTTTTGACCCACTGCCTTGCCGGCGTGGGGATCCATGAGGTTGCCTTGCAGTGGCTTTCCACATTTCTCCGCAGTCAGGGACAGAGGGTAGCACTGGGAGGAGAGACATCCTCTAGGTACCCACTATTATGTGGGGTTCCTCAGGGGGCAGTCCTTTCCCCGATGTTGTTTAACATCTGTATGCATCCCCTCGCCCAGCTGGCTCAGAGTTTCAGGCTTGGGTGTCACCAATATGCAGATGACACCCAGCTGTATCTGCTCTTGGACAGCCACCCAGATTCCACCCCACAATATCTGGCTGAGGGTTTGGAGGCTGTGGCAGGTTGGTTAAGGAAGAGCAGGGTGAGGCTGAATCCTGGGAAGACAGAGGTTCTGTGGCTGGGGAGGGGGGCTTCGGGGTTGGGGTTTGGTGTAATGGTTAAGAGCCAGTTTGGTGTAGTGGTTAAGTGCGCGGACTCTAATCTGGGAGAACTGGGTTTGATTCCCCACTCCTCCACTTGCACCTGGCTGGATGACCTTGGGCAAGCCATAATTCTGGCACAGCTGTTCTTGAAAAAAGTAGTTTCTGTCAAGAGCTCTCTCAGCCCCACCTACCTCACATTGTGTCTGTTGTGGGGAGGGGGAGGGGAAGGAGTTTGTAAGCCACTCTTGGGTAGTGAAGGGCGGGGTATAAATCCAATCTCCTCCTCCTCCTCCTCCTCCTCCTCTTCTTCTTCCTCTTCTTCCTCTTCTTCCTCTTCCTCTTCTTCTTCTTCTTCTTCTTCTTCTTCTTCTTCTTCTTCTTCTTCTTCTTCTTCTTCTTCTTCTCCTGGCTGTTGACAGGCTATCGCTGATACCAGCGCGCTCTATCAGGAGTCTGGGTGTGACTCTGAACACCTCCTTCTCTATGGAGGCACAGGTCACAAATACTGCCAGATTGGCATTCTACCACCTATGCCAAACCCAGCTGCTGGCCCCTTTCTTGTCGCACCCCAACCTAGCTACGGTAATCCATGTTACGGTCACTTCCAGGGTGGACTACTGTAACTTGCTGTGCCCTGGCCTACCCTTGAGATCTCCCCCGGGAGCTCCAATTAGTCCAGAATGTGGCAGCACGTGTCCTGGTGGGAACACCATGGACAGCACATATATAACCTGTGCTGTGCCAGCTGCACTGATTACCAGTGGAGTACCAAGTCAGGTTTAAGGTGTTAGTTTTGATTTTCAAGGCCTTGAATGTTTTTCAAGGTCAAGGACCCACATACCTTCAGGACCGTCTCCTCCAATATGTCCCCAGAAGAATGGTGAGATCAGCTGATAAAAACTTGATGCTGATCCCCGGCCCTAGGGAGGTCCGACTGCCCTCAACTAGAGCCAGGGCCTTTATAGTCCTGGCCCTGAACCGGTGGAACTCTCTGTCAAATAACAGCTGGGCTGTGGGATCTGATGCAATTCCACAGGGTCTGTAAGGCAAATATGTTCCTCCAGGCATGGCAGCACTGGGAGGTTAAGACTGGAACCCTTTTCTCTCTTTTTTCCTCTTTGGCCCCTACATACCCTTCCCTGCCCTGCTGTGTGGGATAACGGTATGACAGGCAATTTATCACCATCCTGATTGGTTCTAATTTCATGTTTATTGTTAGTGATTTTAATTATATAACAACTGTATTTTTAACTGTTTAGGGTGTTGTATATTGCACAGAGCCTGCCCTGCGGGATGGGCATAATTTGTATTTTAACTCTTATTGTAAGCCGCCCTGAGCCTGCCTTGGTGGGGAAGGTGAGATATAAATCAAATAAATAAATAAATAAATAAAAACAGAATCAACGGACCCACATGGGAGAAGCCATTTGAATGCTCAGAGTTTGGGAAGATGTTCGGTCGAATTGCCACTCTTCAGCAGCATCAAAGAACCCAAACAGGGGGAAAGCCCTTTGAATGTTCTTCAGTTGTAGTGGCACTCTTTAAAAGCATCAGCGAACTCATTCAGAGATAAGTCCTTTGAATGCTGAGAGTGTGGGGAGACATTCAGTCAGAGTGGCACTCTTCAGCAGCATCAGAGAACCCAGACAGGGGAAGAAGACCTTTTGAATGTTCAGAGTGTGGGAAGAGATTCAGTCACAGTGGAACATTTCAACAGCATCTAAGAAGCCATATGGGGAAGAAGCTTTTGGAATGTTCAGTCACAGTAGCAGTCTTCAACAGTTTCTAAGAACCTTGGGGGGCATTAGTGGGAGGGCTTCGGGAGTTCTGGCCACACTGGTGGGCCTCCAGATGGCACCTGGGTTTTGGCCACTGTGTGACACAAGAGTGTTGGACTGGATGGGCCATTGGCCTGATCCAGCCTGACTTCTCTTATGCTCTTATCCCACTTATTTTTTGCTGTACTATTATTTGTTTAATGCGCTTTCCAGCCTGTTTTGAGGTGTTCTGGAGGCGTTTGGAACTCGAAAGGGTTAATACATGATATTTCTGTGTTTTGATTCCCAAAATATTGTTCTGGAGTGTCTTTAGCTGATCCCACTGTATTTAGTGTACTATTATTTGTTTAATCCACTTTCCATCCCCTTCTGTGGTGTTCCAGATGCATTTTGGCCTGGAAAGGGTTAATAAATGCACAGTATTTCACCATTTTGATTCCCAAAATATTGTTCTGGAGTGCCTTTAATGGATCCCACTGTTTTTAGTGGTAGTATTATTTGTTTAATGCTCATTCCGGTCTGTTCTCTTAACCAGTCCCGGGTGAGAAGAAAGGGGGGATGTAGGGGTAATCTACAGAGGCGGCGTGGAAAAGGTTGGTTTGGAGGAAGGGATCAGGTATCACTACGTCCCTTTTGGGGGGTTCACTCCGCACCCATGTTTGCAGGTATTTGAAATTAAACCTTTCCTTTCGGACTTTGGTAAAAATGCATCCAGCTAATAAAACAAAATCCAAACAACCAATAACCGTTCTGAGTTTATCCTACCCAAGCCCTTCCTCCAATTAAATGATCTTCACAACAACCCTATGAGGTAGGTTAAACTGAGGAGAGGGTTGCCAACAGCTCTGAGGAAAAATGACCTCTCTTTTTAATAGAGGCTTGATGGGATGTTGTTTACCAGGTGATGTTACTTTCTTCCCTTGCCATCAAAACCTTCACCTGCCCATTTCCATGGATGGGATTTCTTCTTCCCTTAGGCTGTTGGCACTCTTAGCTGAGAAAACACTGGCCGCCCTGAGCCTGCCTTGGTGGGGAGGGCAGGATACAAATTGAACCAAATAAATAAATAAATAAAAGTAGGTCCCAGGACAGATCCTTGAGGCACTCCACTTGTCACTTCTCTCCAAAGGATGAGCAACCTTTAACAAGCACTCTTTAGGTGCGTTCAGTCAACCAGTTACAGATCCACCTAGTAGTAATAGGATCTAAACCATATTTTACCAACTTTTCAACAAGAATATTATGTAGAACCTT